CACCCAGGCCCCGTAGTCCCAGCGAGCCACAAACTCGGAGCTGTGGAGGGACAGCAGGGACCTCGAAAGATCATGGAGTGAAGCCCATTGCCCCAGGCTGCGTCAGCAGACAGCGCATTGCGACCGTCCCTGACAGCTGCACGTCCAGCCTGCTCTCAATCACCTCCCGCCATGAAGGTTTCACCAGCATCCCCGGCCACCTACTCCCTGCTCAGCCCTGCAGAGAGGGAAAAGGTTTTCCTAGAGGCAGAGTTGCCCGTAACAGCAAAGTGAAAACGAAATGCTCAAAATGACAATGGGACATGACACATTTTTTCCCAAAGGTTTTATTGAGGCCAAGTGACAATAGAACTTTCAAACAGCACGTCCCTGTGCACGGTCAGATTGGTGGGCAAAGAACCACGCGAAAGAGTCAGGTTTAGCAGCTGGATCCTCATGTGCTGAGTGCACTGGGAAGGGTGGTGAACGTCTAAATCCAGTCCTCCTTTGGGCACGTCTCTTGCATGCACCGTGGATGTGAAAAGTTTTTCACATTATTGCACACTCATAGCACTGGTGAGCTGGAAAGGACCGCATGGGGCATCTGGTGTAAGCCCCCCGCCAACATGCAGGATAGGAGAAATGACATGCTTTTATTATAGAACTAAATTGCAGCAGGAGGAGAACAGGTTTTTTTCGGTCTTCTGCTGCATCAGCCATTAGACATTTCAGCTTTTCAGTCCCATTCACAATAGATTGTCCCCACCATGCAATTTCCCACGGAATGGGAGCCTCGTTTTCCAGCCGGCTCCGGTTTATGAGCGCAATCTCTGTCTCTCTGAGCACAGCTTCTTGTCTAAGGTCAGCCTGTGCTCCCTCCCTCGTCTGCAGTCACTGGTCTCTTTTACCCCAAGAGTTCAAAACTGGCATGTCTCAGCCCACCCAAAATTGTGAGGCTGATTGAGAAAAAAATCACAAGATGAAAACAAAAAAACCCCAAAGAACAACAACCAACCAACAGAGCTAGGGCTTGTTTATTTGCTATTTTTTGTTGGCTCTAAGGCAGGGGTGGGGAACGTTAGGCCCGAGGGACGGATTAGGCCCTTGGTTTGCCTGGATCTGGCCCCCAAGAGTCAGAGCTCCCCCCACCAGCAGTGGGGAGCCTGCACTGGCACTGCAGCCCCCCTCTCGCCTGCCATCTCGACATGGGGCTGGAGCATACAAAATCTACTAGGCTAGGCCCCTCGCTCATTCTGGTGAGTGAAGTGAATGTGAAAATAAGAACGGCCATACTGGGTCAGCCCAAAGGTCCATCCAGCCCAGTATCCTGTCTGCCGACCGGGGCCAATGCCAGGTGTCCCAGAGGAAGTGAATTGAACAGGTAACGATCAAGCGATCTCTCTCTTGCCATCCATCTCCACCCTCTGACAAACAGAGGCTTGGGACACCATTCCTCACCCATACTGGCTAATAGCAATTTATGGACTTAACCTCCATGAATTTATCTAGTTCTCTTTTAAACCCTGTTATAGTCTTAGCCATCACAACCTCCTCAGGCAAGGAGTTCCACAGATTGACTGCACTGTGTGAAGAAGAACTTCCTTTTATTTGTTTTAAACCTGCTGCCCATTAGTTTCATTTGGTGGCCCCTAGTTCTTATATTATGGGAACAAGTAAATCACTTTTTCTTATTCACTTTCTCCACACCACTCATGATTTTACATACATCTATCATATCCCCCTTCATGTCTCCTCTTTTCCAAGCTGAAAAGTCCAAGTCTCTTTAATCTTTCCTCATATGGGACCTGTTCCAAAGCCCTAATAATTTTAGTTGCCCTTCTCTGAACCTTTTCTAATGCCAGTGTATCTTTTTTGAGATCTTATTCTCTATCCCTTTTTTAATGATTCCTAACATCCTGTTTGCTTTTTTGACTGCCAATGCACACTGCGTGGATGTCTTCAGAGAACTATCCACGATGACTCCAAGATCTCTTTCCTGATTAGTTGTAGCTAAATTAGCCCTCATGATATTATATGTATAGTTGGGGTTATTTTTTCCATTGTGTATTACTTTACATTTATCCACTTTACATTTCATTTTCCATTTTGTTGCCCAATCACTTAGTTTGGTGAGATCTTTTTGAAGTTCTTCACAGTCTACTTTGGTCTTAGCTACCTGGAGCAGTTTAGTATCATCTGCAAACTTTGCCACCTCACTGTTTACCCCTTTCTCCAGATCATTTATGAATAAATTGAATAGGATTGGTCCTAGGGCTGACTCTTGGGGAACACCACTAGTTACCTCTCTCCATTCTGAAAATTTTCCGTTTATTCCTATCCTTTGTTTCCTGTCTTTTAACCAGTACTCAGTCCATGAAAGGATCTTGCCTCTGATCCCATGACAGCTTAATTTACATAAGAGCCTTTGGTGAGGGACCTTGTCAAAGGCTTTCTGGAAATCTAAGTACACTAGATCTACTGGATCCCCCTTGTCCACATGTTTGTTGACCCCTTCAAAGAACTCAAATAGATTAGTAAGACATGATTTCCCTTTACAAAAACCATGTTGACTTTTGCCCAACAAATTATGTTCTTCTATGTGTCTGACAATTTTATTCTTTACTATTGTTTCAATAAATTTGCCTGGTACTGACGTTAGACTTGCAGGTCTGTAATTGCTGGGATCGCCTCTAGAGCCTGTTTTAAATTTTGGCGTTACATTAGATATCTTCCAGTCATTGGGTAGAGAAGCTGATTTAAAGGATAGGTTACACACCATAGTTAATAGTTCCGCAATTTCACATTTGAGCTCTTTCAGAACTGGTCCCGGTGACTTGTCACTGTTAAGTTTATCAGTTAATTCCAAAACCTCCTCTAATGACACTTCAATCTGTGACAAGTCCTCAGATTTGTCACCTACAGAGGACGGGTCAGGTTTGGGAATCTCCCTAACATCCTCAGCCATGAAGACTGAAGCAAAGAATTCACTTAGTTTCTCCGCCAGGGCTGGTCCGAGCCATTTTGACGCCCTGGGCCCGGGCACGTGGCACCACCCCCGGGTGCACGGCGCATGCACAGCCTGGCTACGGCCTCAGGAGCGCAGCCCGGGGCCCCCCCCCGGGGTGTGCAGTGCATGTGCTGCCAGCCCAGCCCGGCCATCACTGCTGGCAGGTGTGCTGGGACATTCAGGGCATCGTGGCCGTGGGGGCCAGGGCGCTGCTGGCCGGGGCCGCCGGGGTGGGGGGGGGGCGG